GCACTAGGGTGCTTCACCTTGCTTATCGCGGCCTAAAATTTCACTGCAGGCGTTCCGCGGGAGGATACGGCGCCTGGAGGCGAGCTGTGAGTGTGCTGAGGAGGAGATAGCGCCCAGGAGGCTCAACATGACCTTGTCTGCCCCCTGCACGGCCCGGACGCTCCCCGCTAAACACCAGCCTCAAAGGTACGTTTCTCTGATTTTTTTTTCTATAAAGTTGTTTATCTTATCAATCGTCCTTTTATCTTTTGAGGCCAAGTAGAGGGTTCACGTCAAGTCTAGTTATCTCGTAGTTATGTGATATGACCATCACATCACTGAGAATGTTCCGACACCACAAAGTCTCCTTTGCGCACAAAATAGTCCAACATCTTTCTTTTCAGGCGACGGTCAGAGTCACGGACGAAGCACAACCTTCCTCGACCGTCACGCGCTCGTACATGACGCTTTACCCGACACAAGCGCACATGAAGGTTTGTTTCCAGGGGCGGGAGCCGGCGAGAGTGGCGGAGCGAGGGTACACTCACCACGGCGGCCAGCGAGCAACTGACAGAGTGAGTGGCCCAGACACCTCCCGCCCGCCCAGGTAGGCACAACAGGTAGGCTAACTTCAGCACCTGTTGAGCCATCGCTAAACGCAATTTTTTCCCTCCTCCTCCACGCACGCCCAGCGGATTACTTCCACTCTTGCAGGCGGGTCCCTGTCGTCGAAAGCAGAAAATCTAGCCACATGAAGGTGATCCGCAAGAGCATCCACACGCCGGGCCGAAAAGACGGTGGAGATTTCCTTCTCATGACATCCGGCAACCCCTCTCCCCCTCTACTTCCCCTCCCTCCCCTACGCCCCCCCCTCCTCCGCGGATCAGGACAACACACGGGGACTCACGAAAGACCTCCGAATCGTGAACTTAATTCGTGTGTGAGCATGACTCGGAATTTTACCAACAAGGAACCTGCGAATGAGCCTGGTAGAGGAATGGCGGGAGACCAAGACGGCGGATGCGAATGAGGAGGAAGGGTGGAGTGGAAGACGAGGAGACGGAGGAAGATGAAAAGAATGGGAAGAATAAGCGAAGGAAGAGAAGACAGATGAGAAGAAAAGGGGTAGAGGGAGTAAAAGCGAAGAGGAGGTGGACCAAAGACCGCAGAGAAGGGTTTATGTTTGGGGAATAAAGGCAATGGCATTAATGCAGGGCATGGCAAAGCAGGTCGCGGGGGACACCGAGCATACGAATGAGGGCCAGGGACTCTCCTGACGAAGTAAATCAGACAGATGGCCACGGCAGTCGTGGAGGGAATTCGCTAAACGGTGCAGCGGGGCAACGAAACGCGTCACATTTAATGCCATCTTGATTTAATGCCGTCTTGATTAGGATAAGACAAAGGCCTCTGTGACACGATATATATATATATATATATATATATATATATAATATTATATATATATATATATATATATAATCAGCCAGTAGGTTCTAATTCTCATAATCGCCCAGGCCAGTGCTGATAATGATAGCAACGTTAATGGTGAATATACTATCTTTGATTCTGAAGATAACGATGATTTTGAAGAAAACTCATGATGGTGATGATTATGATGATGACAATAACAACAGCAACATTTATGCGTTATATAATAAACCCCTCCTGCCCTCAAGCAAGCACGCCGGGGGTGGAGGGGAGGGGAGGGGGGGTAGGGGTCTAGCACCGTGGGAGCGTCTCATTACATGTCCTCCCGTGGCATGTAATCACCCCCCTCCCCCTCCCCTCCCACTCGCCCTATCCCCTTCCGCCTTCCGCCACGGACACATCCAGACTTAAAGGGTTAACCGCTCCGTGGAGGTGAACGAGCTGGACGCACACGACATATGCGATATAATCTGTGCACAAACAAAACAAAATATATATCTAAACAAACACATAGTCTAAAGCCCTTCCCTACAAACACGCCACACACACACACACACACACACACACACACACACACACACACACACACACACACACACACCACGCATACAAACACAAACACACACATACACACATCCAACTCCTCTCACACAAGCAACCGCCAACACACAAGATAAGCGATTCTTAGCAAACAATTACGCGCCAAAAACTGGGCTCCGTCGCGTCGAAAGGGAAGGGAAGGAAGGGAAGGAAGGAAGGAGGGAAGGAAGGGAAGGGAAGGAAAGGGAAAGGAAGGGAAGAGAAGAGAAGAGAAGAGAAAGAAGAGAAGAGGAGAAGGGAAGGGAAGGGAAGGGAAGGGAAGGAGGGAAGGAGAAGAGAAGAGAAGAGAAGAGAAGAGAAGAGAAGAGAAGAGAAGAGAAGGGAAGGGAAGGGAAGGGAAGGGAAGGGAAGGGAAGGGAAGGGAAGGGAAGGGAAGGAAGAAAAGGGAAGAGAAAGAAAGAGAAGAGAAGAGTAGAGAAGGGGAGGGAAGGGAAGGGAAGGGAAGGGAAGGGAAGGGAAGGGAAGGGAAGGGAGAGAGAAGTTCCCGCAA